ACAACCAACATGGACTAATCAAAGATCCACCTGTTGCATTCCACAGCAGCAGATAACCATTGTTTACATTTTGTTCCTGAGGCCTCTCAGCTTCTCAGGAGGAAAAATCCTAAGGAAAGGATTTTTCATAAAAGATGTCTGTGACAATGGGGCTGAGCCCTCATGAGCAGGATCCTCCCTGTGGGTCAAGGCTGCAAAGAGCCTTTGTTTTATCCAGGAGCTCAGAGAGGGGACTGCCCTGAACAGTGTCACTACAGCTCAGGTGAGGGATTAGGAGGAGATTTTGCCATCAGAGATCCAGCACTGGCAGTCAGTGACAGCAATCAGGGTGTGATTTATGTGCCAGCTTCCCCAGGGGCTCAGGCCAGCCCTACGAAGTGCTGAGCTTAATGAAGGAGGTGATCTAACGAGGGGAGCTGATCTAACGAGGGCTGGCATGGCTGGGTTGGACAAATGAGTTCATGTGCTGGAGCAAAGCCCATGGGAGGCAGCTGGGACTGAAATCACCAGGAAATCTCTGTCCAGCATCAGGGCAGGGCTCTGCTGGGCACTGCAATCACTGCCCAGGAGCAGGGCAGGGCTCTGCTGGGCACCTCTGGGCAGACTGGGACCATTGCTGGCACTGGGGGTGGCTGCACGTCATCATCCCAGCGCTCTGCACGCCCCCGAGCAGCGTCATCATCATCATCGTCATCCATCAGCGCTCTGAAAGGTGCCTAATTACAGCCTCTGCTTTCCTGTTCCCTTATTCATCCTCCTGCCCCAGCACCTCCTTTGTCACCCAGCTGCAGGGCTGGAGCTGCCTGGCTTGGAGCAGTGAAGGCACAGGGTCCCTTCCTGTGATGAGGTCTCACGTCCTCCCTGCTGCTCAGAGCCCCTGTGGGTGATTTGTCCCCCCCAGAAGGATGGGGCACCCCCAGAGGTGTCCCCACCACACCCTGGGGATGTCCTGCCTGGTCATTCCCTCTGTCCCCTCCCGTGTGGCCTCAGCCATGCTGCCCTGGGTGCTCTCAGTTTGCTCCCAGGCTGTGTTTTGGTGCAGAAGGTGAGGGATGAGCTCAGGAGGGAGGCAGGAGGAGGAGGCAGCTGCAGAGGAAGGAGCAAATTCCCCTCTCTCGTTTAATGCTCTGTATTTGTGTCTCTGTGGGGGCAGGAGCCCTTGCCAGGAGCTTTTCTTTGCCTGTGGCTGTGCCTGGCTGTCACATCTGTGCTGCTGGGGCTCTTGTGGGGTCATGGTTTGTACATCCAGCAGCAACAAATATCATGTGGACCCTACAGCTGAGGTGCCAGGACACTTGCCAGGGCTTTGGGTTCCTTGATCCCACTCCCAGGCTGGGGACAAACCTGAGACTGGGCAAGTCTTGGCCAAGGTTGGTTTGGATGGGCACCTTTGGGCTTGGATGGGGACCTTGGCAAAGCCCAGCTGTAATGGGCTGGGTTTGCAGTGGGAGTCTCCTGGGCTGTCACCTTGCTGCTGGCTGGGTCAGTGCTCAGGGACAAGGACACCATGGGGCTGTGGCCAGCACCCAGTCCTGGTGACAGACTGGGATGGGACAACACTAGGAAGTCCTGCACCATGGGCTGTCACCCTGCAGTTGCCTCCTAGCGCCTCCCTATCCTGCCCCTGATGTTAATGAGCTTCTGCAAATTAAAAGTTCTCACTTGAACCCTCCAAAAATGAGCCCCTGCTGTCCGTGCAGGGACCAGAGCCACTGCATGGAGTTCAGCTCCAGGGTTCTTGGTGGCATCAGTGGCAGCTGGGTGCTCTGGGATGCAGCTGAAGCGGGGGAGTCGAGCTCAGCCTCTGCTCCTGCAGGTTCTGAGGCTGTTGAGATCCAGGTCAGGTTCACTCTCAGCCACCATTTCCCAGGAGCAGTCGAGATGCAGCTCTGACTGTGGTTCAGTCAACCCAGCTTGAGTGGAAACGAGCCCAGCACCCACCTGCCCTGCCCCCCTCCCCTACTTTTAGAAGAGTTATCCACTTTGGTAGAGAAATAGAGATGCTCATGGAATATTAAACACCTCCCTAAAGCCCCTGTTGCTGATGAGTGGCTGCTGCTCCTCATTGCCTGGTGCAGGCAGTGACCTTTCAGAAATGTTGTACGTCGTGGTCGTCTCTAAATGTCTCCTCTCCTGGGAGCATCTTGTGGAGATAGAGATTCAGACATGATGTCTGTCAAGAAGAAAAGCAGATTGTGGCCAATCTGGGGCTGCCTGTGCAGTGTTGCCTGGGCCACGTGCTCGGGAATCATAAGGTTGGCTCTAAAAATAAGCGGTGGCTCCTTTCGGGTCGTCTCCTTGGTGCCGTGGCTCATCAGGGAATCCTCGGTGCTGGGAGTTCCCACGTGGGAGAGGAGTGGAGAGTCCTGTGGCTGCTGAGGACTCAGGATGGGATCCTGGGGTGGGAAGACACCGTGGAGACACCAGGGAAGGAAGGGCAGGTCCTGCATCCCCTGGGAGCTGCTCCGGCCCCCCAAGACCTGGGGTTGCTGAGCAGGAGGAGCCTCGTGAGAGGCAGCAGCTGCCACTCACCAAAATAACTCCCTTCTCTGGAAGCTTTTCATGTTCTCCAGCCGTCCCTGAAGTCACCCTGTGATGACCCAGCCTGGCTCCTGCACAGGCAGCTCCTTCCACACTCCCCTCCTGTGCCTTGCCAGCAACATCTGCTCTGCCTGAGCAGCCTTGAGAGGGACACGAGGGTGACATCAACACAGGGCTGTAGGGCCTT